GTTGTGCTTAACTCCCAAGGGCGGAGCTAATGAAACATTAAAAATGTGGTTATCATTGCAGCTACGTGTGGCAGCATCTGGAGACGGGATATGTGCAGGGCATGTGTGATTTACTGGCTCCCCTTCTGGTTATTCTGGATGATGGTCAGTAAAATGTAAAGTGCAAACTTTAAGTTTGGATTAGTGCGCATGGAGGAAACACGTCGGTTGAGTGTGTCCATGTCTGTGTTGGGGAATGTTCGCAGAGGTAATGGCGTTCAGCTGCTTCACCGAACTGATGAAGAGGATGAACCAGAATTTTCCACATGGAGGTGCCATGGATACTCACTTTGCCAATATGCGATCACTCATACAGGTTTGTTGATTTTGTGTGCGGAATGAATTAGATACTGATTAAATTCAGTGAAAGTTTCAGTTAGATAATAACAATATATAATAATAACAATATATAAGGTCTGACCCACACTGATTGATTCTCTGGTTCTCCATGGACAGATCCTGGACTCTGAACTGTTTGAGCTGATGCAGCAGAATGGAGACTACACTCACTTCTACTTCTGTTACCGTTGGTTCCTTCTTGACTTTAAAAGAGGTGGGAAGGAAAATATTAGAATCGTCCATGTTGGCTCATCCAACCTTATCAATTCATCATATGTTGTATAAAGCATGATTATCAGGGACTGTGTTATTGTTTTTCCGAACAGAAATGGTGTATGATGATGTGTTCGCTGTGTGGGAAACGATCTGGGCAGCCAAGAACACATCTTCTGAGCACTTTGTGCTTTTCATCGCTCTTGCCCTAGTGGAGATGTACAGAGACATCATTCTGGAAAATAACATGGACTTCACAGACATCATCAAGTTTTTCAACGGTAAGATGACGAAGGATGAATACTGTAGCCCTCGATGTCTTGGCTCATTTCTAATCATGGACTCCGAATTTCGCAGCATTTTTGCATTTTCTGATCGTTTTCATGTTGGAGAACCCAGTTATGTCCACGTTTCGACCATCTTGCTGCTGATTTGAAACTTAAAGATTTTAAAGTATTCCCCGTATTAATCCATCTACCTTTTGCATTGTGAAAAGTAGATGGAACTACAGGCATAAAAACGGGCCGACAACAATGTACTGCCAGAGCAATATAGCTCATTTTCTAGAAATAGTGAGAAATGGTGTTACTTTTGAGGAGTATTTAGATAACTGCTTCAAGCAAATCTTAAAACTGATGAGTAAAGTAACAAATAAATTGCATGGTCTCTGTTTGAAAGGTTTTTAAAACATTTTTTTGATATCACTATGCTGACGAAAATGAAGACTAAAATAATTGACATGTTGTAATTTGCCAGCCAGTCTAACTTCTGCCCTCTATTCTCAGAAATGGCGGAGCGGCATGACGTCCCGAAGGTTTTGATGAAAGCCCGAGAACTTGTCCACCAAGTGCAGACTCTCATAGAAAACAAGTAACACTAACAAGTAACACTAAAAGATGCTGCATCCCATGACCCCATGATTGGTGTATAACATTGTTTCAAAGATCCTGGCACATGACGACGTCAACTAAAGCATTGGGTTGGAGGTCATTAAAGCTGCTCATTATTCAAACTGTGGTTGTAAAACAACCTCTCACCAGTTGCTCCTCTTTATATTCAGGAGACACAAGCATTGCCAGTAGATTTACTTCTGAAGTGTTATTGTTCACCCATTGAATGTGTCCTTGTAGATGTTGCTTCAGGATGTTATTTAGCCTTAAACTTTGAAGTTTGTTTTCAGGGATACAGCAACCAAACTCATCACTCTCTTTAAAATATGTTATTCCACCTGACACCACGCGCGTTTTCTCAGAATTGAATTGTAGCTGCCATTATTAGTCATCTTGTGGAAAACATTATTGTTTATCTGATATTGTGTCACTACATAATTTGGATGAGCAAATGATTTGGTCCAAATTGCATCTAGACATCCTTGCTCTGCTTTCGGACCTGGAACACTTAACCTTCTGTCTTGTGCCTCCGATGCGCTCAAGCCTTGAAAACATACAGACCCCAACTCGGTGCAGCCCAGCATGAATGCACATACTTTGGTTGTAGACACGGTTCAAACGTTTCCGCTGGTAGCTTCAGCCTTTATCCTTCCTCCCTCTTTCTCCGACATCCCCTGAGCATCGATTTAGAGATGATTCAGCTCGCTTGAGTTTGTACTTTGACTCAGATGTCAGTTTTTATTTCTGTGCAGGCCAGTGCTTCTCAGAAATCCACCTGTTCACCTACAGACATTTATTGCATTCACTCTCTCTATAAACTTACATAAGAAGCAGCGCTCCGTTTATGCTGGTGTCGAGGATGAAAACATCAGCTGACGACGCTCATTAAATCCAACAAGTGCAGCACCAACAGATTCTGCTTCAGTGCACGATCAGGCGAGTGACGTGAGGATAACTCTCAGAGGTGAAAAACACGACTGGGCCTCTGCGACACGTTAAACTCCCATCTTTTGCTTGTACCTCAACAGATTCATTTTTATCCTACCATCATGGTCAAATTAGCCGTCAGGATCTCTTCCCTTCATCCTTACCATAACAATATTGTGTTCTTGTTTTCTGAAACACAAGTTTACATGCTCACCACTGAGGCTTTATGTATGAAGAGTAATCCTGATTTTTATGACTTTATACCCAAAGTATTTCACCATGACTCATCAAGTTGTTTATTCTAAAACTTGGTTTAATCTTAGTGAAAAGATTCTATATTTTGAGTTGCTACTGATTGACAAACGCTCATACATGTACTAGAAAAAGCACAGAAAATAAAAAAAAAAGGTTTTCTTAAACATTTCTTCTCATATGTCAGCTTTCAGAGATGAAAAACCGTAACATTTAATAGAAGTGCATGTCCTTGATTGCATTATTCCTGGAGATTTTGATCCCAACATATGGACACCTTTTTTTCGGGGGGGAGGATAACCTTAATAACTTAAAAATATCTAAAGATAAACATAACATCTTGAAAAAGATCGGTTTTGTCAGATAAAAATGCTGTTTGTGCTACGTCATAATTGCAAAAATATCCAATACACACTTGTGTTGGTTCATTGATGTGGCTTCAGTTCCAGTGTTTTGGTGTCACCGCTAACGTGTCCCCATACGAACTAAAAACTGCCTGAATATCGCTTCTTGCTTCTTGTGTGTTGCTGTTTGTGATCAGAAGATATAAAATGTGTTGAAGCAGATTTATTGTACAAATACTTAGCTGGTACATATTTAATAAATGCAATACAATGTCTGTATATCAGTTAAGTCTAAATAATGATGAAAACATAAAGCATATTCATGGAAATATATTTATTTTTTTCTGTCTTCTGAAATGGTCCCAAGTATAATTAATTTATTGTGTATTAAAAAAATATTCTATTTTGCATTTGATGTGCCTTGTGTGCATTTTATGGGAGGGGGGGAAACCTGCCAATTAAATGAAAAATAATATACGTGAAGGTTATGTCTCCACCTTTAGAGTGAGACATAACCAGCTTAGTCGAAATAAAATATCAGTTAAGAGTTCATAAACACAAACATCAATTAAAGTAAAACAAGGTTTAAATATCTTTCTGAGATTTACCCATTTGCATCATTTCAGTTAAAAGCATTTTTTTCTCAGAGTAATGACAGTGGCTCCAAAGGATCCCACTGAGTAACTGTCTCTGGAATATAAAAGTTTTTTACAATTTATGCATATCATGGCAGAAAAAAGTGTGCAATCTCCATCCATCCATCCATCCATCCATTTTCTTCCGCTTATCCGGGGTCGGGTCACGGGGGCAGCAGCTTCAGAAGGGAGGCCCAGACTTCCCTTTCCCCAGCCACTTCTTCCAGCTCCTCCGGGGGAACCCCAACGCGTTCCCAGGCCAGCCGAGAGACATAGTCCCTCCAGCGTGTCCTGGGTCTTCCCTAAGGCCTCCTCCCGGTGGGACTTGTCCGAAACACCTCACCAGGGAGGCGTCCAGGAGACATCCTTACCAGATGCCCGAGCCACCTCATCTGGCTCCTCTCGACGTGAAGGAGCAGCGGCTCTACTCTGAGTCCCTCCCGGATGACCGAGCTTCTCCCCCTATCTCTAAGGGAGAGCCCAGCCACCCTGCGGAGGAAACCCATTTCGGCCGCTTGTATCCGTGATCTCGTTCTTTCGGTCATGAACCAAAGCTCATGACCATAGATGAGGGTGGGAACGTAGATCAACCGGTAAATCGAGAGCTTCGCTTTTTGACTTCGGCTCTCTCTTCACCACGACGGACAGGTACAGCGCCCACTTCACGGCAGAAGCTGCACCAATCCGCCTGTCGATCTCCCTTCCCTTCTTTCCTCATTCGTGAGCAAGATCCCCAGATACTTAAACTCCTCCACTTGAGGCAGGACGACCCCCCTGACCCGGAGAAGGCACTCTACCCTTTTCCGGCTCAACCCAACATTTGTTTTTTTTAAACTGTAGAGGACAAATATGACGTTATATGTGCAAAAGATTTTTTATTTATTTACCATGGTCTCACTTTTTTGTTTCAGAAACTGGCGAGAATAAAATGTGTGAAGACTTTTGAGAGTCACTGTTATGGATTTGTTTTAATCAATTTGTACATCTAAATGCAACTGACTAAAAAACTGTAGATAGAAACCAAATAAAACTACAAATCCTATCCTGGAAAATTATTTTATTCAATTCCATGTTTTGTGGAATTGATTTGACTTTTCAAGAATGACACTGTCTCATTAAGAGTTTATATTTTTATTGGTAAAGAACAACAAATTATACTCAACCTACAGGTCACTTTGATCAATTGTTCACACTTCAAAAGAAAAAAAAAAACAGGCTTCCAGACAACAGCTAAAAGGCTCACAAATGATCAACATCGTTGAGAGGAGAAAATAATAATAATAAAAAAATCCCTAAAAATAAAAATCTAAAGTGGGAAAATAGATTTGATCAATTTAACAGAAAATCACACCTGAAGTTTCTGACGAGGTTTTAATGAACAGCCAAGAAATTAACTATCAAAGTAGAAATCAGAATGTCAACTTAAGAATTGCCAACTCTGTTTTGAAATAGCTAAACCTAAAAACAGAAAAAAAACCCAAAAAAACAACAACAAAAAAACAAAAACTTAAAGGCTACAGAAAGAGTAGGCTGTTGTGGGTTTTCTGGCCATGGAATGCATTTATACCAAAATAGGGACGAGGATGTCTGAAGTAAAACAGACATAAAATGGTTAAAATGCAAAAATGTGAAATATTTCCTCCAGATGTCGCGTAAATACAGAGGCCTCTATCTGTAATGACGTGGAGGTGGGCTATGGTGAGGTGGGGGGTGCCTCCTTGGAGGCGGACTATGCCTCAACATGGGATGGCGTGGAGGTGACGGGTAGCGAGGGGGAGATCCTCTGTTAAAATACGGAGGAGAATAGCGGCCTCGGGATCTGGAACGAGAACGTGAACGACTCCAGTTGGCAGCGCCACCGCCTCTCTCCTCATAAACTCGGATATACGAGGTCTCACCCTGCAAAAATAATAAAAAAAAAAAAGTTCAATAAATTACAAATATGAACAACAGTGTCTGTTTTCACCATCACTGATGCCACATACCTGATGCGACCGAAACTCTGTTCGGTCAAGTCGGCGTAGCGCGTACTCCATATCCTCCCTACGGAGAAACTCCACTACGCCCTCGCCGTCTCTCTGTACATCTGCGAAACAAACATCTCCTGCTTCTCGCATGTGATCCTTCAGATCCTGCCAGCTTCCAGTAGCCGGTAACCCTTTTGGAGGGGAGGGCAAATATGATGAAAAAACATTTAAGAAATGAATGACAACAGGAATAAATTTGGTTTGGTCGACCAAAGTGTAAAGCTTTAAGGAACTTTATTAAAAATGAAGCCTGAATAACATTTTAAAAATCACTTTCATGAAGTTCTTTGTGAAACAAAAATGCAAACCTTGATCAACTCACTTGAAATTTTAGCTTACGTACTGATTCAGGAGTTGAACTGGAGCTTCTTTAATCATTTACAGTTTCACCTTGGAGAAGTTACTTATTGATAAGTGTAATGCCAACTCCTGAGCTGCAGTTGCTTAAAATGCACACCGACTTCAAATGTGACAAGAACGTTTTAAAATGTAACTACCAACTTTTCTATCGAGTCTCTTTCAGACCAGATGTAAAATTGTGTCTTAACATAATTAAAAATACTTGAAGCTAAGTGTTTCGGCAGCTATAAAATAAACAACTACCTTAGACTGCCTATATTTAAATTGTTGTCATATTAAAAATACTAAAGAAGTACAAATCACATGAAATCTCTGTCTTTCTGTAGCAATAATAAGTACTATAGGAAGCCTAGTTACAAACAGTGCACTGCAAAAGCGAACTTACTCGCATCTTCTCATACAACCACCACAATCAATGTATCTTACAGAGATTTTGTATGATTGACCGGCACAAATAGTGTTGGTCTTTTACTATTCGATAGTTGATGCTTCGCCATGGCAACTAGTTATTTTTACCACTGGGCTCAGTTGATTAGCATCCCAAAAAGTTTAAATACCACTTGTACTATGTGAAAAATATAAATATAAAAGCTTTCAGATTTGTACTTGAAAGATGTTTAAAAGAAGCAGGCATTTTCCCCAGTCACAATTGAGCGTTAGTATCCTACACAAAATTCTAGTAAAATACATGGAAGTCTGTGGTTGTAACATGACCGAATATGCAATATTGCAAGGCACTGTGTGTTATGTTAACATTTTGTGAATGTGGAAAACAACAGATAAAAGATACACAATGATAAAATTACACCTACCAGTCACTACAGCGGGAGTTTAGGATTATTCAGGCAACATGATCAGTTTTTGTTTAGTTTCAGTTTTCATGATCTGAGAAGCAGACTTCATCTCATCCACTCAGTCCCCTTGACTTCCAGTCCACCAAGAGAAAACATATCTGCCTATGACTCAAGACATCCTTTACTATTTCCCTTGTCCTCCAGTCCGCCATAAGAGAGAGATCGTATTATTTGTCAACAACTGTTGAGATCCATTTTCCTCTAGTCCGCCATGAGAGAGATTTCATTATGCGTCTACAATTTTTGGCATCCTTTTCCCTCTAGTTTGCCATGAGAGAGAGACATGTCTGTCTATAACACTTGGGATCCATCTACTACGCCCTTGTCCTCCAGTCCACGGCGAGAGAGAGAGAGTGAAATATTTGTCAAATCTTTGGCATCCATCTACAGAACCCTGGTCCTCCAGTCCTCCAAGAGGGAGAAATATCTGTCTACAACTTTTGGCATCCATCTACAAGGCCCTTGTCCTCCTCTCCACAATGAAAGAATTATTTCCCTACTATGGTTGGAGCCCATCTATAAGGCCCTTGTCTTCCTGTCCGCCATGATAGAGAGAAATATTTGTCTACAATCCTTGGATCCACCAACTAGGCCTTTGTGTTCCTGTCCGCAATGATAGGGAGATTTTTGTCTACAATCCTTGGATCCATCTACTAGGCCCTTGTCTTCCTGTCCGCCATGATAGAGAGAAATATTTGTCTACAATCCTTGGATCCATCTACTAGACCCATGTCCTCCAGTCCGTCATAAAAGAGAGAAATATTTGTCTACAAATTTTGGGGTCCATTTATGAGGCCCTTGTTCTCCAGTCCGCCTTGAGAGAGAGTGAAATTTTTGTCTACAATTTCTGGGATCCATCTACCAGGCCCTTGTCCTGCTGTCCACCATGAGAGAGAAAATATCTGTATACATCTTTTGGTGTCCATGTACGAAACCCTTGTTCTCCTCTCCACAACGAAAGAGAAATATTTGTCTACAACCTTTGGGGTCCATTTACTGGGCCCTTGTCCACCTGTCCGCCATGAGAGAGAAATGATATCTGACTATGAATCCTACATTCCTAACAGTCCCTTTAATTTGTCGTCGCAGCTTAACAGAGATTAATATCATTGGGCCACGATTCACGGCATCCACCTACCAGTCACTATGACCCGAAATTCGGATCTTCGAGTTGGGGGTCCAAACCTTCCTCTCTGTCCTCCTCCTACTCCTCCTCCTCCAAAACCTCCCATTGGACCAGTTTTGGCAGCAGAGGATCGAGGATACTCTACACGTAGCTTGGAGTTCCCATATGCATATCCATTCCTTCCAAAGACAGCATCCTCAGCATCCCTAAGAGAAGAGAGCAAATAACTCCTTACCAAAATACACCCAGTGGGCAAAAGTTGGATTTGGTGCCTCCATCCATTTCCTGCTGGCGATTGATTATTGGAGTAGAGTTGTATCACAAAATCAAAGTTGTCCAACAAGGGGATTCTGATTCGACTTGCCAGAGACCGTCCCGAAAACTCACCGTGGATCCTCGAACCGGATGAAGGCAAAAGGAACAGTTCCTCTGTTATTCTTCAATTCTATTTCTCGGATTTTTCCATATTTGAAGAAGAGATCCTCTATGTCTCTCTCCTGGACATCCATGGGGAGATTTCCAACATAGATCCGGCCGTCAGACATGTTGAATGACTGGATCGCACTGCTGACACAGAATAGGGGCAACTGCAGACTGTGAGTGCACCTCTTGCTTTCAGAAACAGCTGCGGAAACGGTCCTTTTCCAAATCCATATACTTAGTCCATTGGAGGCCAATTCCTTAACTTAGACAAAGATCTGTATATCTGTAATCTGTAAACCGGAGTTGAAGTCACAACAGTAGTAAATGATGGGGTCAAGGGAAAAAAAAGGTCTCAAATATGGATCCAAGCCTGAAACTTTAAAAGAGGGTAGAAAATGTTTAATAAGAAATAGCATTTTTATGCAGGTGAAATTATTGCACAGTTTTCACATCATATAAAAATGAACAAAATCCTTAAATGTTGTGAGCAGAAAGTGTTAAAAACTCTACAGTGCTTCAGAGAAGTGGAGAAAGCAGCAGAGTAACTATCATAATGCTACATCATTTCGAAGTGCCTAGATACTTCTAAATGCTGTTACTGGGATATTTTTTTTTGTGCTAATTCTACGTACTATAAAACAAATAAATGAATTAGACATTGGTTTTTAAACAGTCAAATAGGTTGTTTTTCCCCATTTTCCCCCTTCACCAAAAGGTTTTACAATTTTAGTCATTTTGTATCAGACTCTCTTTTGGTAGGAAAGGGAAACTGACTCTTACTGGCGCTTCCATGCCAACAACCACAGGAATGTTTTGTACCTGCTTTTGACAACCAGTAATTTACATCATGTTCCATTATAGGAAGAAACTTTACTGTAGCAAAATGTAGTTATTAGTAGTTTATCATGGGCAAGATGTTCAGAGCAGGGATGATGAGAATAATGATTTATAGCAAAATATAGTCTGAAAACAAAACTGCTGAATTTCACTCAAGATAATTAGCTGGTTTTGTTAAATGAATAAGCTGTCCTTAATGCTTTTCAATGCTTACATTTCAAAAATTATGAGTTTGCATATGCACACACCCGCATAATAAGCCTGTGCATCAAAATGTATAAATGTTTATATATCAATTCGAGTAGTTAGCAAATATGTTGCAATAAAAAAAACAACACACCAACTGTTTTTTTTTTTTTGTTTTTTTTTTGACACAGACTACTTACTATCTGCTGGTGTTAATTGCGAAAATAAATATCTAGAGCAAATTAACCAAACCTTTTTTAGCTGAATAAAAGATTTATTGAAAGTTCAATTGTTGTTGTTGTAATCACTATTACAGCAGAATAATTGTCAGTGTTTGCTCAACATCTCAAGTCAATTCCTAAAAAAATATTTTACATTCAACTAAGCAATTTCTGTGTGATCTTTAGACACCACTATTTTACAGATTTCGATTCAAATTGAGGGAAATAAATCATCCAATAAATGGAAATTTAAAAACATAAATACGTTTGTCATAGTTCAATAACAAACACACAAAATATGCACGTGAAATATTAAGAATACATCAAAAATAAAAATAGCTGATACGATAAATAACCAAAAAAAATTTATTTTTAACTGGCACACCTATTCAAGTTCCAGTGCTTTTCTAAAAGGCTGATTTTCTTTTATACTATTCAGAACGAGGACGTTTCCAAGGCCTTCTTGAGAAATCCTTTAAGATGAACCGACCAGACCCGTTTTTCTACCTTAACCAACTCAATGAAGATTAACACGTGGCGCTAACTGAAAGCTTTACACCCACGGCCTAGAATATCAGATTTATTTATAACGTTTTCAGCGTGAGTTACACGATAAAACTACACCACCACCAAATAAATGTGGAGGCTAAAGCTAATAAACAGGACAGGGACGCGTTGCTGCTACAAGATATAGTAGGCATTAAAATGTTACATCTTTTTTCTGTAGTCCACATATTTGGTTTGTTGACCGTGTAACCTCATTCATTTTGCAGGATTTCTGTTTTGTATCGTCTAGAACCTGAATATGTTCGTTTGGATACGCAAGTAACATTTCTTTGTTGACCAGCTAACCTGGCTAAAAATCTCACTGCGCCTAAAATGCACCAATATTTCTACCAATCTATAACAGCAGTATTACTTAGAACATCGTGTATATTGTAATAAAAACTACTTACGTTTAAAACAGTACAATTAGCTTTCAAAGATAACACCTAAGTGTTTTAGTTTGAACGCTACTTCTCAAGACACACACCTTCTTCCGTGTTAGCAACGTTAGCTTCTTCTTCTTCTTCTTCTTTTTCTTGAGTTGGCGGCAGTGTGGATACTTCGTTGTGCATTACCGCCCCCAGAGGCAAAAGTGCCTCTACATATTGAATGACTGAATTTGACATCTGTTTTTTTTTTTTTTTTTGTTCGCCAATCCTGACTTTAATTGAAATCTCAGAAATTCCTCCTCTTGATATTCTATTAACTCAATTATTAAATTATTTTTTTAAAATCAGTTTTATATCTCATGTACTTTTATTTTAGTCGGGTAGAATCAATTTATTAAGTTACATTTACTTGAGTAAATGTGGGGGGTGCTTTTAGGAGTAGTTTTAGTGCATCGTACCGATACTTGAGTAATATTTTTTACGAAGTATCATTAATCTCACTTGAATTTTTTGGGGAGATTTTACCCCCATGAATGAAAAATCAACACATTTTAACCACTAATGTATGAGACACAGAAACACGCATACATTTCATGATAAACTGAGACATTTTAGGTGTGTACAAATATTATTTTCTATCTTCTGAGCCTAGTGCCATTTGGAGATCAAGCATACAGTAAGCACTATGTATTGTCATTTAAAGTACATTTTACTCTATACTTAAATTACCTACAACGGGGTTTTACGTAGAAAAAAATATTTGTAAAAGTCTTTCTTTTGCCTGATTTTTTTTTAAATTATGTAATTTATTTTTTCTATTTTAGTCTTTAGAATCTGCTCATAACTTCTTTTGTCTGCCTGATGATATAATTTTTTAAGCATTGATGTTCGCTTGAGGTAGACACCAGCACCCCTAGTAGGCTTTTACCCATGCAGAGATAAGCGAGAGTTAGATAATGGATGGATGCATGGATGAATGTAATAACTAAAGCATAATCTGTTAGATTCCATGCATGATATCTTAGCTATTTTATTTTATTTGAATAAGAAGGGCGCGTGCTTCGACATGTGAGGAACCGCCTCTCGAGTTGCAGACTCACCGACTCGCGCGCTTATTACACAACCGTCACCCATAGGAGCAGCAGCCCAGCAGCACGGAACTGATCGCTGCGTTTAAAAAAAAAAAAACTCATTTAAAGAAAGGGGAAATATGTCCTACACGAAGTTTGTCGCGTCTCTTGCTCGAGCGAAGTCGGGAAACATCAACAAAATCCGCATTTCACCTTCAAGATGTCTGTCAACTGTGGCATCCCCGAAGAGCCAGGAAGAGAAGGAGCCGCAGCGGCAGTTGGAGGGCTGCGCGGTGGTGGATGCTGCCCCAGTAGAACTCATCAGCCAGACCAAAAACGCCAAAGACGTGCGTCTGAACAGAATTCACATCGACTTCGACAACACCGAAGAGGCATACAAAAGTAAGAATAACATCGAGCTGCTGCGAAGTCTGCTGGTCTTCAACCTGTGTAGAATTGACATCCTTGTTGAGAAGAATAAGGGGGTGAGTTTATCTGGAAAAGTTGTAATTCAGCTTGCAAATTGCCTGTGTGTTAAAATAAACCAGCAACCTCTCTTCCATGCTCTTTCAGCTGATGGAACTCAGTAAGAAGTTGCTGGGTCAGCGGTTGTTTGAGAAGCTGATGAAGATGACCTTCTACGGTCAGTTTGTGGCAGGGGAAGACCATAACGCTATCAAGCCTTTAATCCACAAGAACCAGGCTTTTGGCGTGGGGGCAGTGCTGGACTACAGTGTGGAAGAAGATCTGACACAAGAGGAGGCAGAGAAGAAAGAAATGGAGTGAGTACAGTCATTCACTTAATTAAAATAGTACTGAAAAACCCATTTATTTCAGAAACTTAAACACGTTATATGGGCCAAATACACATGAATGTTTGAAAACTTTTATTTCTGTAAATAATTTTCCTCTTACATGTAATAAAAATATGACATTTAAATGTTTAACATCTACACCAGACCAATGACAAAAAATAGTATTAAAAACAAAAATGTGTACTTATAGAAATGTATGCTTAGTACCTGCTTAAAGGATGTTATTTTGAAAAGGTACTTGTAATCTGAGCAATGGCCCTCATCTGAACACATATTCCAATTTATTGAATATGACTGTATTCACTGAGTGTAAAGGTTGAGTTGCCTACAATGTGATTTCAGGTTTGTATTTAAGTAGTTGTACCACTGTTTAATAAGCCTCACATATAAAAGGAAGGTGGGCCCTTTCTTCTGTAGTTATATAACATTCTTAATACATGCAAATCAGTTGAGACAAGTACATTTGCACAGCCTGTCCTTATATCCTAGTTTGTAACTTACTGGGTGTGTCTGCACCTAAAACAGAGTCTTTCTGTCCAATCCTTTATTGCCATTCAACAATAACACAAATGCACTAAAACTGGGAATTCAGAAGGTTATTTAAAGTCAGAGAGTGAAAACCATCCCTCTGCATATTTGGAACATGAGTAGTGTGATTCGGAGAGCACCTGCAGGAATAACATTAAATACCACTGACACGACAAATTTCCTGAGACTCCTTCTTTACAGGAGTATGAGTATGATGAGAAATTATGCCCAATAATAGCATTTAAGTATTGAGATATTTCAGCAGATCTACCATACTTAAATTGCTCAGTAATTGCTTCAGAAAGTGTTTTTTTTTTAGGTCTTTGGTCTCTGCTTGGAGAGTTGACAGCATTTCTTGTTGACTGCAGCCTAACCAAGAAAGAGCAACTTCACTATTCATTACCAACTTCCCTATTTTTAAATACTAGGGGTTGCAAAAATCCAGGGAATTATTTTCATTTGGAACATTATAATTAACAGAATTATTAGATAGTTTGGGGGGGGGAGGGATATAATTTACAACCAGATCTCATGCAGTAGGTATGTTTAACTCATTGCTCAATCAAATGCACATGACAACCTGCAAACTGCATGGATAGTGAGGCAGTGCCCTTACATGCTGAGTCTTCCATCACTTAGCAATGTAGACCTCAGGTCTTTTAAGCCTGCATGTTTGAGCACAGAGCTCTAAGTAATAGAAATGTTGATTATACTACTAATTATACGACTAGGCAAGTATGTGTAAATATGTTTTATCTTGCAATTATTACATACCAAAATAAAATTGATTTATGTTTAAATATGATAGAGTTTGTTTAATTGACCCCAGCTGTTAGTTACTTTCTATAATTTGCATGGCAATTTTTCCAATTTGGAATATTTTCTGAATTAGTTAGCTTAACATGTAAAGTTAGACAAAGAAACCAAAAGTTTTCCACACATTTCATCTTTTAAACTAAGTATTTTATTTCCTTCCATAAGCTCTATAATATTCCACTGTACTGTACTTTCTGCTCTTATCTTATCTCTTCATGTATTGCTTCCGTTATGCCTCCTGATCTGTGTAATCTACAGCATGTTTTTGACCTCCTTAAAGGCCTGTAATCAAATCTTAAAGTGTTTTATGTTTGTTTTCGACGACACAAGCAGTTCTTGTCCCCTATTGGCCAATTGGGACATACCTCCCTCTTCTGATTGGTTGGATCTGATATCCAGCTGGAGGAGTGGACATTATTAAAAGGCTGCCAGCGCTTAAGGCTAATGTGTTGTAACTCTTTATTACACACTCATACACTTGCAAAGAAGTATTGTGGGCTGCTCTGTGGTGGCAATAAACACAGTTTATATTTGTCCAAATGCTTTTACTACAAAATAATAACATTTTCTGTTTTTCAGTACCTTCTTTGATAAGGCACTAGCTATATTATTATTTGTATGTTTCATGATTTATTAAAAAAGAAAGACTTTTTCAAGAAGACTGTTTGCCTCAATATGAAGAGAAAAGGGCAGAATATCTCAGCAAGTCAGCATAAGTCAGAATCACATTGTTTCTCAGCACATAGGCTTTACTGTGAAAATATAATTTATCAGTAGAATATGTTTATTCATGCTTTCTATAAAGAATAACTGAGTCTTCTAATGCAAATCTTTTTTATTTCCCCCAGTTCCTGTGTTTCCGAGGCAGAGAAGGAAAGCCCAGGTATGTATATTGGTTCTCTTTAGGGATGATTTATTTATTTGAAGTTGTGCAACACATCAGTTTATATGCTCCATGTAGTAAGGAGCAGCAGGGGAGTAGGCTTATATGGTGAAAAGAGGGTTTGCCTTCTTTGGAGCGATGGCACTGCAAGTGAAAGCTGTTCTAGTGCAGAGTGACATGCTGGACTCTCACAACAACATGTGCTTTTGACTGGACTGCACTGGTTGGAGCTGGTTCTCACTAGGTATGAGATACCAGCTGTTGCAGCAGGGTGACGTTTGCTTCACGTGAAGAGTTTAACGCTTACAACACAGCTACAAGGCTTTCTCTGAAAGAAATGTTTCTCCATGTATGTTCTTATTATTTGTATATGTTTCATGATTTATTAAAAAAGAAAGACTTTTTCAGTCTTTTTATGCATTTAATATTTTACGTGAAATCGCTCAGCTCTTTAAGATGAACTACAATTATACTAATGATAACTTTTATCATTTTGATACAAAAATTTGCATCAAAACTCTAGTTACAGAGTTCTAGCAACTTAGTCACTAGAACGGAGTTACAACATAATTCAGTTCTAGTTTATAAACAGTAAATTACTCCATAAAAATCAAAGTTGAAGTGTACTGTTTCTTCACCTAAGTTGGTTAAGATCATTTTTCCTCTTTAGGTGCAGGTCATCGTGAGAAGAAGTACAAGGCCCACCGTCAATTTGGGGACAGACGAGGAGGTGTCATCAGCGCTCGCACCTACTTTTATGCTGATGAGGCCAAATGTGACAATCAAATGGAGACGTTCATAAACTGTATTAAAGCATCAGGTAAGTAGTATCTGAAGCAGTTAGGGAAAGAAATATTGTAAAATAAAAATGAATGCATAACTAAGAGTGAAGAGTGCAGAGTTGATCTGAAGACTACATATTTTTACTAGTTGTGTGAAGAGCTGGTATGTAAGCAATATCGTCTGTGCAGTAGAACAAGGTCACTGTGTTATTCCTCTGAGTTTATGATGGAGTCAAGACATTCGCTGACCAGAGCAAGGCC